GAACGTTCAAATTCAGTAGGAGTACGGGTGGCAGGATAGGAACACTAACAGTGGGTAGGAGGACCAGACTCCGCCCACAATGGGCGGAGTTTGAGCGAAAGTTCATAACTTTTGTCCCCGTGGACCTAGAACGTTCAAATTCAGTAGGAGTACGGGTGGCAGGATAGGAACACTAACAGTGGGTGGGAGGACCAGACCCCACCCATAATGGGCGGAGTTTGAGCGAAAGTTCATAACTTCTGTCCCCGTGGACCTAGAACGTGCGAATTTGGCAAGAGTTATGGGAACAGGGTGGGAACAATCACTGTAGGTGGCAGGACCAGACCCCGCCCATAGGGGGCGGAGATTGCGCGAAAATTGCCAATTTGGCCTAAGGCGTTCAACCTTGGTTGGGGTGCAGGCGACAGGATTGGAACACTTAGTATAGGTGGGAGAAAAGGACCTTGCTCACAGGGGCGGGGTTCGCGCGAAAATTGACAATTTGGCCATAGGGCGTTCAAAGTATCCTAATTGCACGAAAATTTCACGGAGGTACGCTTCCTTGGCCTTTGTGACATTATACGATGTTCTTACGGACACAGCGGAGATGGCTTACAGAAAAAATCGCTCTCAAATCGGAGCTGATACTGAGGGTGGAGAGCTTCCAAGGAAAAAGGAGAATCCGGAGAGTTATTTACGCATAGCAAATTTCTTAAAGGAAGGAGGACGGCCCGGCGAAGCCGGGCGTCACCATGAGAAGGAGGGAAGCCCGGCGTTAGCCGGGCGGCCCGACTAGTTAGAACATTAACTGGCTCTCCCACGTCGGCGTGAATACTACCAAAAGTATGGGTATCATCAGAGCCAGAAAAATTCGCCGCTTTATTTTATGGATAGAAGGCAGTTGACGATCGTACAGTGTTGGAAATGAGCAATAGATTATATCTACAAACGAAGGAAGGGTTCAAATTTTAGTGAGTGTGTACCGAGTTCACATGACTGCCCAACCCAAGAAACGTATCCCTCGAAGTATGGAACATGATAGATTCTCGAGCTTACAATCTTTGGTTTGTCGTCACAACGACATGTTAGCTTGCGAAGGCTGAACGGTAAATGCTTAAGTGGAGGAAATCGTAAGATAACGGAAAAAAGCCATTCAAGCTGCCAATGTTAACTGCTGTTCATCTGTCTGTCACAGAAAAATTGAAAAAGAAATCTTTTGAATCCTGATCAAGGCCTGATTTATCTTTGTCTTTTCCTTTCCTTCCTTATTTGTAATCCCGCTCCATCCCAACAACCAGAGATGCACGCGTTGCAGGCAACTTACCGTAGCCAGACATAGCATGCACATTTGGACAGGTCCTCCAGATACCCCTTTCTTGCAACTTTTGCCGCCACATTGCCCAGTTTTATTACTTTTGTGAACCCTAAGATCTCTGTAAATACGCAGATCTTCGTGTTTTCTTCGCCACTTTTGCACACTTCTGGACTATAGTATCCCTTACTTGACTGAAGCCAGATACCCCAAATTCTTCGTGAGCTGTGCTTTGAATCTTGGTCAACGTCTTATTCACAAAGCAGTTGTCTGCTGCTTTGTCTTCAGTACATTGATGATGATAAATGCACGGCGCGTCCTAGATAGGATGGTTCTCGTCCTCGCCTTATTTATATTGATAATATTTGTTGGGAATGCTACTCACCTAGAAAACTTCGTTCCATGGATTGAGAAAGAGCCGTGGCGTTGGACACCCCATTAATTGGATCCAACGTCAGTGAATCATTCAGGGATAGTCCGTAGAGGTAGAAAACGTCATGAAGATGGCGGGCCCAGGTGGCCATCTGAATTTCCGGAAAATTATTTGTTGTTTCCATTACACGACATAATTTCTAATACTGCACTTCATATTTACATCAAGGATCAACGACGTTTTCACAAACTCTCCTCGGGGTCGTCATGAAGGATGATTTTGGCCAACCAAGTCAGGTCCTATCACATTCAAGTCGAAAAGTGCGGACTGGAGCGTCTAATCATACTATGTGACTTTGTGGCTATTATCGATTCATTCCCTGAACTTCCCCTGACCAAGGAGATCAGTTCTTTTGTCACGAAATACAATTGTAGTGAAATCACTACATAGTATGCCTCACCCCCTATTGCCCTCGTTCTGACGCAAGAAATTCCCCTCCCCGCTGGTAAAAGACCAGGGGTAAAAGAAATCTCAGAAGGTGATAAGAGAGAATGAGGTGTTCCCATGTACCCATGATTGCGAGTTCTCACGGAAGCAGCCTAATCGAACGAATAAAACCTTGCCGCTTTTCCATCGTTCGACATACAAGCAGCTGTACTGCAATAAAGTGGATCTCCACGTACACGCGCGACTACTTTTGCTTGAAATTCCTTCAGTGCGTTAGGATCAACATCGTCAGCATTGATATCCACCTAAAGCAATGTTATACCTCGTGACTGACGAACTTTCCTTCTATCAAATATTTAATAATTCCAAAATTTGTTAGACACAATTTACCGATAGCATCCGTTTCGCTGCGTTTTTCACAATCGCATCATCGGCATGGTTGTTGTCGAGATCTTCCCAAAAAGGCGTCAATCCATTGGAAACTGCAACAATTTGGTACATTCGATAGGCTGAACTTGTCAGTACACACTAAAAACGCTAAAGGAAAAACTAGAGAAATAAGTCGCCGTACGTATGCTGATTGGAGCCGCCTGATCGCCTGAAATAGGGTCAGTTTAACGGTTGGATAAAGATTCAAATGAGGACGTCTAGGAGCTAAGCCGTTCTGTAGAAGGATAGTCAGAGAAGGACACGACGAAGGTAAGGGCAAAGGGCAAAGCCAGTTGACAATAGAGGTTCTCTGGACCTTCAGGGTCATCATTCAAAAATGGTGCTACAAAGCGTTTCTACAGACTGTTTCAATGGAGTGCAGTGAAATGAATAATGAGGTAGATACAGACATTACTACAAACAGTTCCTTGGCCCTTAGCAACGGCCTGCAGTCCAGTTGAGGTTCTGTAGAGGCAAAAGTGCAATATGAGAAACTGATGCACGCTCCACTATCTGGGAGGCTCGTAATCGCTAGAACGGGTCCAGCAAAAATAAAGCACTTACGTTCAGCAATTCCTTTTGTCGACTGACCTAAAGGTAGAGTTTGAGCAGAAATATGGCCGGCCCAAAACAGGAAAAGAGCATACCGAATCCAAATCCACGCATTCCGACCAGTACATAAACGTACTCCTCCGAAATCATATCCATGAGAGCAACTTTTTTCATGAATGCACGTCGATTTGTGGCCGTATCCAAGCACATTATGATGACTGCAATAACAAGATACTTTGCCTGATGTCGTCCAACCGTGAATTGCCAAAAAAACTCGTGGCCCTCAATGTTTCCGAGAAAGTTTTCCAAATGAAAGTTATGGCAGGTATTGACTCAAAGTGTGCACACGGAACCACATTTCGAGTATGTAGAAGAGTTGGTTTTGCTCGTTTTCATGAGGCATGTCCCACCTAATTTTTCTCTATCATTTTCATCGATTGGTATAACTGCTCTTTTAATGTAACACTTACTTTTCCAAGTCATGGCTGAAGGAAAACCACGGTAGAAAATCGAAAAAGGCCAAATTTCCGAACAACAGGAGCAAAGATAGTCTAATCGAGGAATAGCACAGGATTTGGACACTGCCACGATATCGTCAACGGATTTCTCAAGAATCCTGTGGTTTATGGGGCCGAAAAAACGTTTGGGAGGCATTTCATGGAAAAGTAAATCAAGCGCATGAACAGAAAGCGGACCATGATTCCACGCCTACCAGTCCACCGTAATGCCAGCTGCACCACCATTGCACAGGTATGGCTTTGCTCGGCTCGGTGATCCGTTCAATGCAATGGTATAACACAGAAAGGCATCGGTCCCGTAACTTTGTTCCCAGAATAGATCAGTATTCGAAACCACCTACAGGAGTATACATCTCATCATGAATGGCCACTGCGACCAAATAACCTTCCCTTGTTAAGTACAGACAAGGACAGCTACCCCCCACCCCTTCCCTGCACTCAGGCTCTCAATGTTGGATAAACGAGATGCCTCTTCAATCTACATTTTCTATCTACTTTATAAAGGTAAGAAATGAGGCACGGTGTAAGTAGGGCGACCCGACTGGTAAGGTTACAAAAGAGCAAGATGTTTCCACATTCTCAACCTGGATTGCTTTTTGTGGTACGTGTTCACGAAAGTCTACAATTATAGAAAATCGACGAAGTCATTCTGAAAGTGATCGCGTACTCCGTGCAATTTTCTTTGTGCGAAGTAACTGATCTGTGAAGTAGGCGGTGTCCTGACCATCCCATGCAACGACTTGTACCAAATCTACCACATATTTCGTATCGTCACTGAATGCTGTCTGCAAAAATGAAAATGAAAGCTCCTGAACGCTAAACGCTTTTCTAGCAAACGCACAGTAAGATCGCTGATCATGGTATCACAGTACTGCACTTCATTTGGAGTGTAGTAAACCGCAACACGGTTCCATTCCAACATCATAAACATCAGCAACAAAGCGTTCATCATTCTGGAATGTCATTTTGATACTCAGCGAGTTTGTTTGCATTTTTCACCCGATCCTGGATTGATTAATCAAAAGGAGGTTTGTTTCTATGCAAATGGCTTGAGATACTGTGAGTCACTGTTTACACATGGTTCCCTCTCGCAATACTTTGATGACCAATTCGCGGTAACTCCCTCTCAAATCGACCGCGTTATAAATGGCGTTTACCTATATGAACATCCCTTGAAAATTGCTCCCGCTAGCTGATATGCTCAATCAGGATGTTCCAGGCAGGGTTCCCATAGATGAATTGATGATGGTAGCTAAGTCAGCAGCTTTTGATTCCATTTCAAGCACGACTCACGGTTGAGCCGCCATGTTGTCCTGTGCTGTACCAGCTCATCACAATTCAGTAATTCCCCCATATAACTGTCTTTCACTTCATTCCATTCCAATACTATTTACATGCATGTATGACATCTAGTACGTGAAGCACTTTAACTAAACGGTTTCAGTTTTGAGGGCTTTCTGTGTTTCTGTGTATTGTTTTTCTGTTAGGCTTTCTTAGTGGCGCACATTTGTGCATAATAAATAAATAGATAAATAATAAATAACGGCAACTCAGTAGCAATAACACCCTCATCGGTTATTGTCAGGTCCTTTACCAGTGCGGGGTCCCAATGACAGGATTACATGGTTCCTCAACGTTACTATACGCAAAACGATTCAATATGTACCGTCGCCCCTTACCAAGACACTTATGTTCTTGGGCCGAATCCACAGAGTGCATCTGAACGGGACACAGGCTACGGAATCTTCTGACATGTAGTCTCTTGATGCAACTTAAGTGCAGCTGCTGCTTTTGAGGTTTTAAAGGAACTTCTTCCAACACAACTGCGCAGTCTACAGGTGAAGGCTTATTAGAAGTCAAATAATGGTCCTCCTAAAACATGCTTAAATTGCACAACGTCCAGGTGGTCAGAAAGATAAACGCGCAAACTAAAGGCCTCGCCATGAAGGGCACCTACTTTGGCCATTGCGTTCATGGCCAACATAGAAGCGCTCGTGCTCGGCAGTCTCTCTATGCTGTATTGTTGAGATACAGACGAGTACTTCATGGTTTGCTCAACGCAAGAATTGATGAAACGATGTCTGGATCTGTTGGATACGTGGTTTGAACGCAGAAAACTTTATTCATAAAAAGCTCTGGGGAAAATGGCTGATTTCCGTAATGGCTGAGTTATACCTTCTAAATAAAGCGGTCACTGAACAGAAGCGTGATCAGAACCACTACAGTATTCTGCCCAGGAAGGAATGAGGGAATGAATTCATGAATACTGCATTCAATGTTGCTGAGTTCAACGGGTACAAACCCCCTTCGTCGAAAGCAGATAAAGAGACCAACAGAACAAGGGGTGGTTTTCCAAACGCATAGAACCCTTTAGATAAGGTTAGCCTCCGACCGTAGGGTTTGAACTCTGGACGGCATTTTACCATTGCTCGTAAGGGCCGATTCAGGCAAAGGGAGTGGGATACTCTCACTTGCTCAGGATTGGGTGATGAGCAAGTTTATCTCGAAGGACTCGTAGGATGTTGAGATGGTTCGTAGGACAATATACATAAAAATCATTCCACGCTTCAGGCTTCGAAGAGGATTTTCCGAAACCTCAGCAGTAAGGTGTTGTAGTTGTCAACCTCATGTAGTTGTTGTATTAGTGGAGTGGTTGGATAGTAATAAAACTTGCTTAGGTGGAGTGTGTCAGATAACTTATGGTATTTTAAACATAATAACTCACTGTATTGAATCCGGCATGACTTTTGTGAGAAATGCAAAACGTTTAGTGTCGCTGAATATAGAGTCGATCAGAAATCCCCATCCGAGCATAGATTTCTGGTAATACGTTGACAGATAACCAGTCATCTTTGCTGCTGAAAAGATTCGATTTCTATGGTTGGAATTTACTGTCAGACTGTAAGCCAGTGATGAAACTTCTTGAAGTTCCATCTGAGTTCGCCATCAAGTACGTCAAACCTGCTACTGAAAGAAGTAGACGATAACTTCAATCAGAACTACAGCTGAAAGTTATGATTACAAGATTTGGCATATATTCAGGCCAGAATAGGTCGTCAAAACGCTGAATTGTTAGCTCCGCTTCGAGAAGTTATCCATATTCGACTATTCCAAATTTTCGGGAATGTTCTGTAGGTTTCCATGGAGCTGCACGTACTTCTTTAAAGAACCAATTCAGCACCCTTTTTTGGAATGCACTGAACCATGTTCCGATCGCAAAAATCCGACGAATAATGCGTGCGCTGGTAAATGCTCTACTGGCGTAGAGGAAGCAAGGGTTACTCCTGTACTTGATGAATTTCCAAATAGCCTCTGAAAATTACTGTGAGTCTAGTTAATAAATTGAATGCACCAACGTGGAGGGCAGGGAGGGCCAATAACAAGATCCACATTGCGTTTGACCATGAACTCCAGAGCTACTCCAACAGCCGCCTTAGAACTGCATTCGGTGTAGTTCACTACAAATCTGTAAATTTGCATTAATTTGTTTATTAGTTTCAATTTATTAAGGTTCGGAGCTGTCATTGAACCAAGCTCTTTCACAAATTAGCTATTAAAATAGTTCACAAGTAACATGAAATCACATCTGAGAAATTCTGCGGGAGTCGATCTCGAGCTTTGACCTAGTGCGGTGTACCCACCTGATCAAATGCACTTATAACATAGATAACGAAACAAAATCCCCAAAGAAACATTTTTTTATTTTGCAAACCAAATGTTTCGACATGTTTCTTGTTCTAAATGCTTACCTATTCTTTGTAATCTGAATTGAAATCCCCTTTTTTTAATATTAATTAACATTCTTATAGATTCAACCAATTATCTGAAAAGATCTTCGCCAGCGATCGTCGAAACCCTGGCCCGGCTCTTGACAAGATATCAAGTATCCACATGTGGAAGAGTAGTAAGACTGTGTTGATATGCAAGACCGAGACTCAAAAGGTAACTATCGCCCACTCTGCTTGCTTCCTATATTCTATGAACTTCTTCGCACGAGTCATCTACAAAGGACTGATTGAACGCTGGATGAAAGTCAGCCATGCGTACAGAATTTATTGGAGGGATCAGTTAAATTGATCACATCCACACTTGATTCATTGACCTATATATTACCAAAGTAGGAATGGTGTTAGTGGGCGCTTTTGGGTTAGCACGTTCAGCCTCAACGCCCTTGTGTCGACGGATGGTGCTCGGCGCTCGTAGGCTGCATTACCGCTGACGCCTTTGCATTGAAGCATGTTTTTTCCAAGCAGAACTTTGCAGAGAAATCAAGAAATTATTCACCGTCTATGCGTGGAGACTCGTTGTCAACAGGATGCCGTCTCTTAACGCTCAACTCTCAACTATGAAGATGCCAGTCTCACCTTCATTGATTTGAAGAAGACCTTTGATATCATTTCATCTCGAATGACGTCGAGAAGGGTGCGATAATTGAAAAATTGGACAACCAGGGATTCCCACCCAACAGCTCTACAACAAATTCACGACCACGATTTCGTCTTCAGTGGATGAACATGTGCCTGAAACCTAGACATGCACTCAGGTCTGCCACTGCAGCCAGCTGCGTGCAATATTTCAACAGCTCGCCCAAACACAGGTCTATCTGCTAGAAGCCGAAAACGTGGCTTCCCAGAGTGTTTTTTGGAAATCGCCTTTTTTAAACTGATCTACGTTGTAACTTTCCAAAGTCGTATGTGGAAGAAGGAATAAAGACCACCACAACAGGATCTGATCCCACAGACGAAAACAATACCCCCTATCTCAGGCTTTCAAAGTTGTCAGACTTGTTGTTAAGCCGTCACGTCGGATATTTCCTACGCCAGGTACCTTGACCGAGGACTTCTCTTCTTTTGCTGTCATGTCCCAGTTGAACTAGGGCAACAAGTCGTTCCAAAGATAACCGCCGTTTTTATGTGTGTGATGTATCAGGCTTAAATAAATGGATCTCAAAAACCTTTGCTTACTATCTTACTAATAAAGAGAGTGACATCGTGAAAAATATGAGAAAACCAGTCGTTATTCTTATTGCACGTCGTCTCTCAACGTCTTTGGAAAGAATATATACAAAGTTGGGATTTGCTGTACCGTAATTTGAACCGTATCACTCTCTTTCACAGTAGCAATGGAGAGATGGATGCTCTGTAAAGAAAATGAACCACGTTGAAGGATTCAGTAGCTTCATGAGAGTGCAGACAAATTTCTTCAAAACTTGCTGTAGTGAGAAAGCGAATATCGAAAGCCTAGCTTACTAGCGTATATAGTAAGTTTGAACAACTTGCTATAACCCATGGCGACAGTGAAAGGCAGCTTCGGACAGTTTTGGCTCGATGTTGTCATCTCTTTGAGCAATGGGAGCAAGTTAAATATCGTCCAAACACCCTTACATGCCATTACCATCGCGGTGATCTCGTACATGCTCCACTCCCACCACTTTTGAAAAGCCTTGAAGTAGATGGATTTCTCACTTCTTTCGCTACCAATGTGCTCCTCTACAGGGTATCTCAAAATTATCGTGAACTGTGCCTTTAATGGGATGACTGAGAAGATGAAAAACCAGTACTCACTTGAAGTCAAATCCATATGTTACACCCTCAGAGCGCATTCGGTCGAGGGCTAAACCAATAGCGCCACCGCTTAGTGAGAATCCCATGAATGATGGGAGGACATCCTCCACAGCAGCGATTCCAACGGTTACCTAATTATAGGGATTTGTACTGAACCTTATATTGTGTGCAGCTGAAGGCTGAAAACCCTTGAAAATGCTTACAATTTTTTTCTGCTGAGTAACATTCTGCTGTGAAATAATGGGAACAAACAGACAGAAAAGAATCGTCGCCATCATCCCGAGGTGGAAAACGGTGTTTGGTGGCACAACAAACATTAAAGTGAGGTTTCTCTTTGAAATACGACAATTAGGAGGAAACCTTTATTTTGAAGCCTTTCGTTTAGCTTCCTCAGTAGTTGTTTCTGTCACATTTTAAAAGCAGTGTGAACAATATTTTGAAAGTAGTCGGAAGCTGAAAACAGGGGTGAAGATTAGTAGTTTGTGTTCAGCCCACAAAATGGGAGGGTTGTAGGGAGGGAACTTGCCAAACTCGATGCTTCCACCAGACATGGAATGCGAACTCCAGTAAAAAAAACTGTTATGATGGCCTGAAAATCGCTTCAAACGCCAGCTGAATTCAAAGAATCCATAGGTGTTTCTAGCAACATTTCTCCATTGGTCTTCTAGAGACTGCACCTAGGGGAAATGAAAACCGTATCGCATAGTGTAAAGCGGACTTTGCAAGGATGAAAGTCGGTCTATTGACCGATTTCCGTAAATGCTTGAAAAAGACGTCTTATTTGACTTCCGAAGGGTTTGTGTCATTCCAAATAGAGCACGTTTACTAAAAGTGCGCACCACTCTTCATGATCGTAATCTTATACTGTGCTGCAATTGAACTAGTTCAAAGAAGTGAAAATGTGTCCGGTCCCGAATCAAAAAAAAAGCAAGAAAGGGCGCGTGCTGAACTGAGGTGTTTTTCTTGATACATCCTTTCATATAAACTTCACCATCGGAAGCGTTACATTTCTTCTACTCACTCAGCCAACCAACCGTTTCACGCTAAACAAGCAATTCCCGCGTTCATTTTTTTACAATTTATCATACACGTCACCTCGGTGATGAGCCCGATTCTGGGAAAGAAACAATCCTCAAAAATAAGCCTGTTCCCGAAATACAAGCCACGAGCTACGAAACAAAAGTAGGCAGAAGATGTTTGGCTCTGTCCAAAGAAAATTCCTGTCTAACCTTTTCTTGATGTTTTGGAAAAGTTCTTTTGCAGCGCCTAGGACTCGTCACATTGCGGTGTAAATGAGCCATAGTAGAGTTCAGTCATAAGAGCCACAAGTTTCGTTCAAGTTTCAAGACAAGTTGAAAATGAAGTGTTTTCTACCTACTCCTCACTTATCTCCCACTTCTTTTCTCCACCCTCCCCTCGCCCCTCACAGCCTTGAAGGTGGTGGGAAATTTGTCTGTCACCTGTCCGTGGAGCCAAGGAGCAAAGGTGGTCTAAAAGGAAACCAAGATGCAGAACTTCAACTTCATAATCACTTTCATTTCGTTCCTTTTCGCAGCAGAAGACACCACTCAGTGCAGGCCAGGCTACACAGTGTATGTTGCTTCACTCTCTTTGTGAAGGTTCGGTTGGACTCGAAGTTCCTCAGAATGTTCAAATGTGGATCAAGCAAAAAAGAGAGATAATGGGCAAATCTTCGAAGAACTCATGCATTTGAACGTTCGCGTTGAAATGGTTCGTGGGATTTTTCCCTAAAATAAACCTGTGACACCCAAGGATAGCCTGGGGGACGCTGTCGGCTTTAAAAACGGTCAAGTTATGGCGTGTAGTAAGGGCCCTGAAACCGAATTAGCCGACGTACGCACCTAAGGCGGACGAGTTCTCAAAGGCACAGTTCACGATAATGTTGGGTAATCAGAATTATGACGAAAAATAGAAGATAAGATAGAAAATAGTATGGTGGAGGCGAAGAAACTGCGTGAATCGGTGTTTCTAAGGTGAAAAAAGGCTTCGAAAAATCGTTGGAAAGGGGGCGGGCTGGACGAGATGCGAAGAGCCGACTATGTTAAGCAAAAATTCATCCACTCACAAGCATGATTTAACAAAAAAAAACCCTAGTAACAGCAAGAATAGCCAACCTTTTACAGCCCCCCGTGGTAGAAAATTAGAAAGAAGATCCCAGCAGCAGAAAGAATAGCACAGAAGAAAAAATGGGAGAAAGACATCGTCTCATCACTCGAAGATTGTGTGTGGCTCCTGATGCGAATATTTGCAATCTGTATTGCCTCGACACATGTCTGATGTGACATTGGTTGAGGAGCAGGAAGGCCGCGCGTGCCGGTATTGAGGCTCCCACTATGCCCTAGCTGCTGAGTTTTTGGATCCGACAGCGTCCTTCCTGTTACCATTGAAGGCCTTTGGGATTTTTAAGGGGAGTACTCAGAAGCCATTTTTATCGTGAGCTGTGCCTTTAAGCATTGTAAAGGCTGTAGAGGTTGCACCATTCGCATCGAGACCCACACCTTGGATGCAGGCAGCTTATAGGAGCTGTATTCAATGGCGCGCACATTCGAAGTTTCACGTTTTCTTCTCCGTTTTTGGACTGTTCCAAACGAGGGCTCTGGAAGGACATATGTCGCGCTGTTGCATCGAAAATGGACTAATGAAGGTGCAGTGAGGGCGCCTTAGAGAGCACGGTGAACAGGTCTTGTGGTGAGTAGCGTCGTAAGCATGTGAATACTGTACCACTCACTTTACACTACAGGCACAATGCCAAAGTTAGAAGCTGTTAGTGAAGACATTACTTAAAGGCACTGTTCGCGATAATTCAATGGGCGGGCACGTCAATGACGTGTCCGCCTCTCATTCGACGCCAGGTCAGACTGTCTGACGTGACATCGAATGAGAGGCGGACACGTCATCGACACACCAGCCCATTGAATCATCGCGAACAGTGCATTTAATCGTTCAATTATATATCATAAATACGTGCATGTGACTTCCACTTCGAAGATGCTACTGATTCTTCCAGCGTAGTATATCTATCGAGCTGTTGATTGTAAAGCTTGGATGTGCAGGAGAAACGCACAGTTTATTATATACAAATATAATGTGTAGAGATGAATTTCGGAAGCAGCTCATCATAGGCAGAGAAAACAACAAGATACTAATATCGTAAACTACAGAATATCCATCGTGGTTCCTAGCAAATAATCTCTGTACATTGTATTCAATGGTGGGGAGCCCAGATTAATGCTGATGTCTTCTCAGTTGTACCCAACTCTGCAGGTAGGATGGATTCGTCTTTTGTTTGCTCAGAGTAGTTGTTGCTTTCTTGTCTGGCACGTTCATTGTCTGGAGATTTAGAAGAGGAAGCGGTTCGACGGCCAATCAACCAGAACGTTTCCATCACACCCTTACCCTGTAAAGCTTGTAGACGCAAATTGCATTCTTCAAACCTTTGGAGACTCAACTGAGTTCAAAGATGAGGAAAGAAACAAAGGATTTCACTCAATAAGAAAATGTTGTATACGGTACAGTTTCACATTCGTCGCCAATAAAGAATTCAAAAACAAAGATTTTTACCTTTATAATGACGTCTCCTCTTGGTCGTGTTTCATAATCTTCGTGGTATTCGTTGATAAGCAGGTCGTGCGCTTCCTTCGATATATGAATGTGACCAGCTGAACGAATCAGTGTACGGGAAATCATCTACTATTAATAAATTCCATGAACTTGTGAATGATTGGATTAGTCTGCCTCCAAATGTGACTTTTGAAAAAAAANAAAAAAAACCGGTACTTTTTGAGAGGGGACTTACCTTTGCCACTGCTTTCCATCCGTGATGCTATATTAACCGTGTCTCCAAATAGACAGTAACGAGGCATGCTCAAACCAACAACCCCGGCGACGCAAGGGCCTAGGAACTCTTATTTACAAAAATTCTAAATAAGACCAACCAGTATAACATCCTTCACGAAACGAGATTCTTTTCAGTCATCTAACAATAAGATAAGTCATCTCTAAGATAAGGGTCATTCAGTAGTGCATCCTCCGCGCTTTGGAGCCCACTAATATTTTGCCAATCTGCCGGTAAACCAATTGTACGTCAGTGCATGAGGCTACCTTATCTTTTCTTTCCAGCCCCATTATCTTCAGAGAGTTAAAAAAGCTCTGTGAGCAGAACATTGTTTCGCCATGATAATTGCAATAAAATTTGATTATCCATTTCTCTTTTCCCATATGGTGTCACTTGCTTAGGACCTGAGTTGCAGGTACGCGTTTTGATGGAATATGAAGGGAATACCTTAACGTCAACTCTCTCCAAGCGATCCTGATCCTAATGACACCATTCTGATGTGGATTAATGAAGTGATCATCAACGCAAATGAGGCTGAGGTTTGGGTTCTTCTATGTGCGGACATTCAATTTTCGACGCCGAAATGGGATAATCAACCATATTTGAGACAGCCGGCGAATGCCCTTCTTTCCTCATCCTTCTCCGCCCTCCGTTTGTGTTTCTGCAGTGCTACTCTCAAGATTAATCATTACATTGTTCATACTTATATAATATTT